TTTATTCTCACATCTTTTATGAGAATAAAATTATATAGAAATTTTTATTCTAATTTTCACTTTTCATTCTCATTATCACTTCTTTTCTTTTAATCAAATAGCTATAACATGATAATAAAACTCCTATTTCTATTACTCTATTCTTAATTATCGAGCAGTACCTTAAGTAATATAAACTGCATTTTGTGGATCAAAATGGGCTCTTTGAAGTAGTTAGGATGATTTTTGTACCTAGGAAAACAAGTGACGGTAAAAAACGAAAAACTTTTTGCTTTTGACCTGTGGTTCGGCACAAATAAGCTAGCCTGATCCGTGCTTAATTAAATTTAAGTATTTTATTTACTTCTTACGAATAGATGAATTTTTATGGTACTTATTTGTTTATTCAAACGAACAAAATAAAATGAATTTGAAACAAATTTCACAGAGAAAGAATAGGGGTTTTTTATGATTCTTTTTGTCTGAGACACAGAGACAGTAAAGGGGAGATTTTATAAATTGCCACGAGTCTCCTGCTGACTGTCCTCCCGTGCATACATCATTATATATATATATATATATAACAAAAATTTTCTGGACATTATAAATAATCATATAGTATTTGGTGTGTGTATATATATATAATACACAATAAATGACAAGTTGTATTGTTTTTGATGGATACTTTATTAAGTTTGTCCAATATTATTAACAAAATTATTAATTTTTTAAGTTTTTACATCATCTATTATATTTTTATCACTCATTATTTTATTTTATTTTAATTTGGTTGATTAAAGTTTTATCAAGTTTATCTATAATTTATTAAAATAAATTATTAGATATAGTGGCTTAATTGAGAAAGCATTTCTAATTTAGGAATTAAATTGCTAATAATTAAAAATAGAGGACCACAAAGTTTCTTATTAAAGACTAAATGTCATGAAAATAAAATATACAGGGGATAAAATAAACTTTTAAAACTATTTAAAGATCAAAAGGAATTTTTGCAAAACTTCATCCAGTCTTGTAAGAACTGATACTTGTCGAATTCAGTCCTCTCTAGTTTAGTCCAGTCAAATTCGATTTGTTCCGTTCTATCCTCCATACCAACACACCCATAATTTCATTTTTTCTTTATTTTCAATTTTCAAGCTGTCTGCATCTATTCTCAATCCCTCTCGACCTCTCTGCAACTTGAAATAATCCTAATTCTTCGCTATCGCTTTCTATTCAAATCAACCCTGACTCATCGTTGGTTAAGTACGCAGCGATACTGAAGCTGGTGAAGCTGAACGACTCTAGCATCTTTCTTTTTGGTAACTTTGCCTCGTGGCTGCAATGCCCTCAGCAACAGCTCTGGCAGCTCTTCTGGTCCGCTAGTTTCAGTAGGTGATTTCTCGATTTTGATTTTGAATTCTATAATTATAAACTGAAACCCATTGATTTAGTTTTTGAATTCTATGAATTAGTTTTCTTATCTGATTGGTCTCTCTTACGAATCTTCAATTCGAAAATTTCTTTTGTAATGTTTTCATGATTGATTATAGTTTTCTATGGTTTACTCTAAATTACTGATTCTGTTGGTTGAATTTCCATTATCTCATTGGGCTTTTAATGGATTTACAATAGTAATAGTTTTTATTTTTAATCGTAATTATAAAAGATATAAATTTTGTTGTGCTTGAATATGCATAATTTATGTTGCAATTGAGATTTCAATTAATGACATCGGATCATCACTAGTTGTGGCTAGTAGGAATCTTTCTAGATGGCCCTGTTTCTCTCACTAACTTGATTATTTTGATGCCTACATTGTGTTATTGACAACGTTTCATCTATTTTGGTGCTTTTCATTGAGGGATGAAGCGCTTCTTTTTGGTTCTGGATGCTTAGATTCTTACCAGATGTGAGATTATGGTTCCAATTTCCAGCGTACGGCATTTCTAGGACAATAGAAAGACAAGAAAGACGGCTTGAGTAAATATAGATCTTACATGTTCAAACTATGATTTTGGATTTTAGAAGTTCATTATCTCTATATAAATGTTCAAAACAGTTCACGTTTTGCTTATTGTATCTGGAGTAAATATTTAGAAAAGATGCTTATAATTTATCCAATGAGAGATAGATGGTAGATAGCTGCAAAGAACCTTTTGGTCATTCTTCGATTAGTTTCTCTTTACAAACTTTACTGCAAAGTTTTACTTCGATTAAAAACCAGTTATTTCACACACAATACCAGCACTTTATACCTACAAAATGAGAAAATCTATGTAAGGATATTCGGCTTCTTTTGCCGGTGTCAGTAAAGATTTTGGATCCTTTCTTGTGTATGCCACTGTCATTGGCAAAAAGTATTGGGTCCCCTCCCACATGAGTGGTCGCAGCAGTAGCAAGTCCCTCCTTCAGGTCTAATAACCAGAGGCCATAATAAAATCAGCAATGTTCACAATTCCTCTCTTTATGGAAACTTAGACCCAGATCAGCTTAACAGTAATCTTCTCATGAAAAAATCACAGATAAGCTTTCGATTAGTGTACCCAGTCCTTTACATTGAAGCTTGGAAGCTGGTTTGGTCCTTGGACATGTATTTGGTTATCTAGATCTGCTGTTGGTACAAGCTTAGAACTCATTATGGTTTTAAGTTTAACATTAACAAATGAGTTGCTAGCTTAGCTAGTAACACATTCTTTCTTTTTATGTTGACCATTTTAGCAGACTGAGGCTGCTCTGTTTGCTTCCCAACCTGCCAACTTTTCTGCAGTTCCTTTAACATTTTACTTCTTTTCCAGTGATGAACAGTCGCAGAACCTGAGGTCAAGACATCAAAATGTGATGTCATCGGTCCATTTTCAGCAGTTCTAATGAACAATTTTGATGGAACTGATTTCACTTCTAGTTCTATTGAGCTTCTGCTGAACCGAAACAAAGTTCTATCAATGATGGCAGTCTAACAATTTGGATGGGAAGTCTTTCGTAAGCTCTAATCCCCTACAGAAGAAGGAAGCTTTCCAAGTGATGTCCGGAACATTGGTATCTGCTTGTAAGCTATCTTTCTTGCTTACTATTAAAAAACCATCTTACTCAAAAGCTTAAGCTGTTAGGTGAGGTCTCAGAATATAATTTATATTACTCTCTAACATACCTTCACAAGTGAAAGTCCTAACATGTGAGCTTGAAAGTTGTACAGGTCCACATAGTCAATCAAACTCTAATACCATATTAAATGACCATCTTACCTAAAAGCTTAAGGTGTTAGGTGAGGTCTTAGAATATAATTTATATTACTCTCTAGTACTTACCATTGCTCCCTTTCAGAAACGTTCTCCATGTGCATACTATTAATGTGATTTAACTCAATTAAATTGTTTTTATTCTGTACTATGCGTATATATGTGTTGTTGCTAAACGTGGGGCAATTAAATCTCAGTTTAATTGAAAAAGATAAATGCATTGCTTTGTCATTTGGTTCACAAGACATTCAGTTTGTCTTGTGACCATAGTTCTGTTCTGTAGTTAACCCAATTGCAACTTTTCATTTCTGCAAATTGACTGTTTTTTATTTGTCAGTAGAACAACAAGGTTGACAAGAATGCCATAGTTGAAACACCGAGAAGCAAGCAAACAAAGATTATTAAATGGTTTGAAGCTTGCTGACCAGTGGCTAGGAAACTTAGAAGTAAGCAGAAATTTCCCTTTGCCAATTAAATTATGTCTGTTATTTGATTACCTTCGTTGGGGAGAAAGAAGATAAATAACCATGGTAGAATTTAATTTGTTTTTACTCTCCTTTGCAGCATTGAAGATACATCAGCCTCCTACCTGGAAAATGAGTGCTGCAAGTACGGGAAGGGTGGGAAAACGTTCTGCCATTCTCAAGTGACAAGTACAGTAAGGTGGCTATTAACTACAGCTCCTTGTGGAATTGAAGAAAGGGTCTAGAAACAAGAGAATCTTGCATTTGGGTTTTGATAGAAAATGAAAGACATTGGACTTCCAAGTGAACTTTCTTATTGGAATGGGTTTCACCATTGTGTGATCTTAGTTGTTGTTGTTTTTTTTTTTTTTTTTTTGTCATAAGATATATATATTTATACCTTCATGATAAATGGTTTCAATGGTTATTTGCATTTATTTTATAGTTCCTTTGGAGACCTTTTCTTTTCTTTTTGTCGTTGATGTAATAATATTTTATGATGTTTAGTTTGAAAAGACTGAAAAATCATTTCCTTGCCTCCAGTTCGGAATTTGAGAATATGAACATGTACCTTGAGAAGAGAGAGGGAGAGATGCTTAGCAAAAGGGTAATCCGCGACACTGAATATAGTGACATCGACTCGACAGCTTGGATTAGAGATGGGCATCCTTGAGTGTCATTAATTTTATTTTTATCTGCAAACTGATTTTTTTTTTTTTTTAAAGTGTTTTGGAGGTGGACCTTTATTAACTAATTATAACTACATTTTTCTGTCTTTTAAGTTTCTAAGATCTTGGTCTCCTAGCGTATATTATGACGTGGAACTTTAATTTAATCTGTTTGAGGAGGATCAACTAGCTAGTGCATCCATCCAGGAGGTTCATACACAATATTGCCCCGAAAAAATTGTTAAAAAAATGATGAGACAATGCTTTGTAGTGCAGGATCGGCTGGATCGATAAGTTCTGTTAACGGAAGACACAAAAGAAAAGGCCGCATGCAATACTCAATTCCCACGTCAACAGTATTAATTATGCTCTAGAACTCGCTTATTTTACAACAATAATAATAACAAATCTTTTATTAAATATTAACTGTCCATATAATCACTTACAAATCTACAAACTTAACACCGTAATTGTGATGTTTAAGTCTGAAGAATTTTTATTCTTTTTTGTTTCAAAAAAATTGCATCTACCAATAAATCATATGTAAAAAAAGGGTCCAATATCGATTAACCCTTACCGAGTAAAAAAGAATTTTGTCAGTAATTCTAGGAACTAAAACAATCCAGAATTTCCGACCAAAACTTAAAGTCTCTTTAGAAATTCCAAAGAAATGAATCTTGTTCTAAAACACCATCAAAATTGATCTCCTCTCCATAATCGAGATTGGGAACTGATGATGGTGGAAAAAAATCATTATGAAGATCATCAAAACCTGGAAATATCCCATATTCTGTAGGGTAATTATTCGAATATGTACTCATTAACATATCCAAAAACGGCTCATCCCATGTTAAGTCACTACCATCCAACTGCACAGTCCCATCAGATGCAATCGATTGACAGGGAGATTCTACTCGAGATTCGGATACAGATACCGATGGATTCGTTTCAAACTGATCCGACTGGCTTCTCTGAGGCTCCAAATTGGCAAACCTTGCTGCAACTTCTTGAATTTCAGCCGGAGAAAGCGACCTGCCACCTGCTATGTTTGGGGGGTTCTCTGGAAAATTAAATTTTGCTGTCCGGCCACGTAAGCAGAAAAGGGCCGCATCAAAAGCACGTGCCGCTTTTTCTGCCGAATCATATGATCCTAACCAAATTCTTTCCCGGCTATTTGGCAGTCTAATTTCTGAAACCCACTTACCCCATTTTCTTTTTCTAATACCCTTGTATCTTGAATCACTTTTCCCCGTAGCTGGCTTCTCAACAGCAGTATACTTCACCATCTGTTGTTTTTGTAGGGATTTAGACAAGTTAGGGTCGTGTTTTCTTTTTGTTGAGCTTAGAAGATGATGATGCTCTCGTTTCTCTGCTATGGCGTTTGTTGATGAAGAGAATTTGCGGCTGCCTGGTTTATATATGTGCGCTGAGGCCCGAGGGGAGTGATGCATGTGACAGTAAATGGTCAAAAACGAAGAGGCGCGTTGAAAAGGAAAAGCCGCAAAAGGGTAGCGAAGCTGACACGTGGAGCTTGAGTAAGCTTCGATGACGTTGCTAACGCGGGGTTTTAAATGGGATGTTGAAAGCACGTGTGCCTTTCATTCCTCGTGGTTTCTATTATCTATAACAAAAATAGCATGCACTAAAAATTTAAGGGAGTGATGTTAAACGACAAAAGCTTTACAACAACGCCGCTTGTATACTTGTCGTGTGGGTGCTTGGGACCAGGGCGTTTTCCCCTAATTACGACGTGGAAATTTATCCTAATTCTTGGATTCATTAAAATATGAATGTACACTTATATTTTATGGCTATGCATTAAAACTAATATTTTAGACAGAGGTAGAGAGTAAATCTTTATTAACACATCACGTCAAACAATTTAATTTTAGCAAGTTATATATATATATATATTCTTACTACGCATGCTTATAGGATTCGAACTGCTGCTGCAAATGAGATTAATTTGACATAAATATAAATTAATAATAAAACTCCAAGTTTATATTGTATCTTAATCAGAAAACTTATCGGAAACCATTTATCCTGCATAACAGTATAAGTGATATATATATATATATTTTTTTGATAAGTAGACGAGATATTAGAGTTAGGTGGTGATTGCTTATCCGTACGCCAAAACTGAAGATGGTAGCTCCGTGGTTGCTTCTTTTCTGAGCAATTATTATTATGTCACGGGGAACGTAACAAAACAAGAAATTCATGCCTCATCAAACAATAACGTCATGCAAAATAAGGAAGCGAAGGGCCTGTTTGACCATCCAACGCGTACGCCAAGCTCGGAGAAAGCGTCATGGATGAGCTCTTTGAGAGTGATCTCAGATTGTTATTAAAAATGCTAAAACAAAGTGTGAATTTACCGTACACATACTGTTTTTGTTGTGCAGAAACTCTGCTTTATTAATTTTTACTGTTTGTTGTGATTAAAACCACTATTAACTTGTTGAATAATTACACATAATTACACTGTTTGTTCAAAATTTCCATTGGTCTTTTTTTAAAATATTTATTTTTGACTTGTAATTTTATTTTTTATTTATTTTTATCCCTGTATGCTAAGACGAGAAAGAATGAAAGAGAGACAAAGGAATGACCATATCCATTTCCATCACTCTGATGGCCGAATTCACCATCAATTTGCTCACATCAAAGAGTAAAATCTATTTGTGGTTGTGATAAATCATAAAATGATTGGAGGAGATAGGTTGAGATTTAAAAATATTTTGACTTTTTATTTATTTATTTTGATTTACATTTTTGTGTCTTTGGCATGCATTAAAATGAGTTTTGAAGTTCTAAATAATTTTTTTTTACGTTTTTTTTTTTTTAATGATTTGAAGGTGTTTTTGAACGAAAACAAAACTGAATTTGGTTTTTGGGGATCAAAAATTAAAAGACTAGACTTTTCGACAATATTTTTAACGAAATATTGTATTTATATCTGTCTTAAAATGATTGTATGATTAAAATTTTAAATATGATATTTTTCTTAAATACTTCTAATTAATTCTTTTTTTTTTTCATTTCTTAGTTTTTACTAACTAAAAAGTCAAGATTATTAAAGATAAAAAAAGTTATAATTAATGTTTTATTGAACAGCTTGAAAAGTAAAAAACAACTAATGCTTTGGACACAAATACTAAATTTTTATTAACACATCAAATCAATATAAAAGTATATTTTTAAAATTGTTTGAAAATAGATATAATTTTAGTTGAAACTCATCCGAAACCATTTATCGTGCATAACAGTATAAGTGATTTATTTGATAAGTACACGAGAAATTAGAGTTATGTGATGAGTGCTTATCAGGACGCCAAAACTGAAGATGGTAGCTCCGTGGTTGCTTCTTTTCTGAGCAAGTATTATCATTTCACGGGGAACGTAATAAAACAAGAAATTCATGCGTTATCAAACAATAACGTCATGCAAAATAAGGGGGCGATGGGTCTGCTTGACTATTCAACGCGTACGCCCTGCTCGGACACAGCGTCATGGATGAGCTCTTTTGACAGTGATCTTCGACTATTATTATTATAAGACGGGATTTTCAACAATAAAAATCATTGTTTATAATAAATTTCAGATTAGAAAAGCATTTTTATGATTTTTTTAACTGTTTTTGGACATTTATATGTGAAATTTAAACAATGTTTTATTTTGATTTTTAAAGTTTTAAAATGAAAATTTAGTCCCCTAAGCTGTTTCATCTCTTCGCCTATTGCATTAAGCTGCTGAATTGGGCCTGTAGCAAGCCTAGAGCAGGCACGTCGGTCTGCCTCCTCTTTTTTTTTTTTTTTTTTGGTTTTCTTCTTTGTTTTTTTCATCAATTAATATTTTATTATTATTATTTAGGTGTGAAAATTATTAAAAATGCTATTTTTATTCTGTTTCTGTTATGAAATAATGAATGTTCATCATCATATTCATATACTTTTCATATCCTCACTACTCATGATTCTTAATATGATTCAATTCATCATTCAATATGAGAAATTGAAAGGATGATGTAATTGATTATTCATAGTCCCTTTCAATTATCTTCTCAAATTTGAAGCCTATAAATAGGCTTGATTGTTCATTAGTTGGTGTATAAGTTTTCTAGAGAGAATAAGAGAAACTTTAAAGTTCTTATCACTTGTATCCAAATTATAGTGATTTCATTTTCTTGTCATCATTTTTTTCAATTCTTCTATTATTTCGTTTCTTTTATAATACGTTATCAACATGGAGCTCTAACCAATCGAGACAATAGACTATGAGATATGTACCTACCAAAAGACTTAATCGATTATTTCAATCATTAGATTTCTTTTACAAAAGTGCTCTATCAAAAAATCTAAATTATTTAGATCATTAAGAGGTATATATCATGTACTTTAAATATAATGATATAATATACATTTGAAAAACTTAAATAATTTAATATATATAATCTAATGATCTAATAAATGTTGTTTGAAAAGCTTTAATTTTATTATTATGTTTGTTCTTATTTTCTAATATTATTATTATATATTACATCATAGAATTTTTATCATATCAAACCTCATAAACTCGATTTTGTGGCTCTTGATATTTCGAATAAGGATTATTAATCATGAGTGCTTGATTCTAAAAAAATAATCTCTACTTTTTATGTCTTGAACATGCTCTTGCAGTAGCAATATTGAGAAAATGAATTTAAGAAATATTCTGAATCGATTTCATATTTGCTCATGGCTAAATAAAATGACAAGCTATTGATGAAAATGAATAAATCTCATCCAACTGGATTTACTCCATTCCCCGAAGTGAATGTGATAACTTATAATAATTTTGGGCATAGACAAAGATGTGGTCATAGCTATCGTAATTGAAATAATTATCATTATAATTGTGATGACCATAATATTACATCTCACCACTAGAAGTGGATAACTATAGAAAAAAAAAGAGAGAATAAAAATAGATAAAGTCAATATTCTGAAAAATAAATATTATAAATGTGGAATGAATGAATATTGATCGTATACACTGTCGTATACCAAAGCACCTCATTAAGCCTTGTCAAGCCTTATTGAAAAATAAAGAGTAAAATATGAAGGCCACTTTTATATATTAAAATAATAGTGATTGAAATTAATTACTTGTTATTTTTTCTATTTATAAATAAAATATTTTATATTTTTTATAATTTATATCGTATAGTGATGGTTACAAATTTATATCGTATAGTATATATCCGTAGTGCTCCTCCATAACGAAATAAAATGGGCACTTAAAGGAGATTGAGAATATATGTTGGATTTGAATCCTCTTCAATCTCTTGATTCATGAACAAGAGGTATTTTTATAGCTCGATTTATCGATTGTCATTTTGATGAAACATTTTTTTCATCATTAGGGGTAGAGAATAAGCAAAATACACAATTGAAAATGTTGAAAAAAAAAAGATTACATGGAGTACTATATCTTTATATCATATTGAATCTCATACACAATAATGTGAACCAAAAGTTCAAAAGATAATTCATTTACAAGGTATTACAAACCAAGCTGCTAGATGTATTCTCATATCTTAAATGAGTAATTATAATGCATGTCCCCGCTAAGAATGCTCCTATTAGAATTGATGCCCTAGAAGGCTAGTCTATTAATGTTACGACCAATGAATCTAAAGCACGCTTAAAGCGTGGAAGACCGATTGGTTCTAAAGATAAAAATCTCTAAAAAAAAGGACAAGATGAAAATATGAAAGATGCAAATATTCATAAAATGGCCCAAGATAAATATGATAATAGGCTTCTAAAAGAAGTCCAAATGCTCGGGAAAAATCAAGAGACTTTGATAAATTATGTCAATACGAGAGAAAATAAGGACAAAAAAGAAACATTTTTTTTTGTATATAATGTTTCAATTGATATTTTGAATGAAAATAAGGATCTCGAGCTAAAATCTATTGAAGAATATCGACATAAAGATGATTGGCCTAAATGAAAAGAGCAATCTAGGCAGAATTATGTTCTCTCATAAAAAAGTAGTTTTTTGAACCCATAGCTAAAACACCCGAAGATGTTAAGCTAATGGGATACAAATATGTATTTATACGAAAATGAAATAAGAAATGTGAGATTGTAAGATACAAAGCAAAACTTTTAACATAAAAGTTTTTGTAAAGAATTGACATTAACTCGTAAGGAGATATATTCTCCTATAATGGATGCAATTATCTTTTGTTATCTCATTAGCCTAAAAAAATATATGAAAAACATTCATATGCATG